GTCAATTTTTGGCAATTGTTTCTAGGCTTGCTCATTTACTCTAGGCTACCCAATTTGCTGGAAAACAATTATTAATTTTGCTCATATTTTTCTTTCTGCAAAGTTGGCTCCACCTTCATCTGGTTTTAGTTATCTACATCTTATTTCTTTTCCTCTTAGAGATATAAGTAAAGGATTGTCACTTTGTTGACTTTAAAAAAATAAACTTTTGCTTTCAACGTAAATTGCTTTTGAAATGATGAAACATGCCTGATCTGTATCACCAAAGACTTGCCCTTCACATTCTTGTCCTGTGCCCCACCAAATGAGTATGGTTTCTGCAAAACTGGCATCATTTGGGTAGAACTTCAAATAGCCATGGTTGGCCAAGGTCCATCTCATTATTTCCATCCTCTGCTGCCCACTCAGAGTGAGGTCGTCAATGCCTACCAACCATTATCTCTGCCACAGTTCTGTGGGTTTCTTCTCATACACCCGTACCCTTTGAGTACATTCTGGATTTCTCAGTGTCTGTGATAGTGTCATGCCCCTCCTAGGAACATGTCAGAAGCACCAGTGATGGGCATAAAACCTCATCCTGCTGGCATCCACACTCATGCTACTTCTGCTCCCCAGGACTCAAAGTTGGAAAGATGCAGTGGTGTGTGAATGCATCCTCTCACGCCCAACCTGCTGTTGCCATGTCCTAGGGACATTGAAAATGCCTGTCAAGCACTATGCGCTGTCTGATCACCACCAAGTCTTCTTCCTAACAGCAGGCTACCTTAGAAGCATCTGTTTTGAGATTCAGGTGAAGTCATGGAGCATCTGAACTGTATAGGGATACAGGATTAACTCCCTAATACTGGATTCGCATGAATTCATATGAAGATTCACATGAATCCTCTTAAGTCACTTGACAAAGTTCTTCTTTAGCAAGTAAACAAAGTAAAGATTCTGACTTTACCTCTTTCTTCCCAAAGTTTATTTGGCTGGAAGATATAGAAACATCTGATCTGCTATCTTTATATTATAATTTAACTAAAACTTAATTACTACTTGGGCGATCTTTTTATTCTTTTCCTTTTTGGCGTGTATATGATATGTATGTGTGTGGTATATGCACACATATATGTGAATGGGTGTGGACACCCTGTATGTGTGCATACAGAGGCCAGAAGAGGATGTCAGGTGTCCTTCTCTAACTGCCTCAACCTTTGAGACTGGAGCTTGGATGGAAGCCAGCAGGCCCTAGTGACCCTCCTGTCACTGCCTGGACCATGACAAGCTCCCCAAATATGCCTGACTTTTTACTTGCTGGAGATTTGAACTCAGGTTTTCATTTTTGCTCATAAAGTGCTGAATCATCTCTACACTCCTTATTTCTATTTTTGAAAATGCAGTTTTGTCTATTCTTGGTTCATCTGGACACTGTCATGACCTTAGAAGATGATATTAGAGAAAGTCATGACTGGTCTCTGATCCTTGACATTTTCTTTCCATCATCTGCAGCTGCCAGCCTTTCTTGTGACTCTGTGTGCCTTGTTGCCTTACTTTGTTATTTCACACAAAAACAGTGGAAATAGTATGTGTTTTGTCATGAAGACAAGGCCAGAACAAGAGACAGCATGCTAACTGATCTCTGTGTGTATCATATTAGTCCAGCTCATGTGTGACCAAACTGAAGGTATAAAATCCTAGAACTCACTGGTCTATTTTAGTAGGTCACAGGAAGCATATAAACCATAGAAACCACAGTGAACCCAAAGCACCTATGATGAGGAGAGGCAAGGATATCTATGTGTTCTTTAAGGCACCATCTGAAGAAATCCATCACAGAGAAGTAAGGAAGCTTCAAAGAAGGCCATCAAAGTACATTCAGATCATTGATAAACCTTTCTTGTCTCTCCATCATATTTCTGGTCATATCTTCATTTGGTTGAGTCTTAACCATACGAGTGGCAGAGAGACAGCTTCTGAGATCAAACTTAACTTTCAGTTTGAATGGTTTAACTCCCAATACGGTTTGAATGAATCATTTTAAGTCACTTGAGAGAGCATAACCTTCAGTTAACCCTCACGTAAAGTTGGCCTTTAGAGTGCTAATGCGATCTTAGCATCTCATAGCCAGTGCCAGTGTAGTTTTCTTTGGGCCTTTAGGGAGCACGAATGATTTTCATTTCATTGGTTTGCAGGAGAACTTAAATGGTCTCCATCTTTCTCCAGGCCACCTGAGGCCCCACAGTCATGCCTTCCATGAGATCCTGTGTAGCCAGCATGCACACCAGAGCTATATAGCTGGGGATGTACTTTCCCTGAAGCATACTTAAAAGGCCACACAGGGCTGGGTGTGATGGCACCTGCCTTTAATCTTAACATTCAGGAGGCAAAGGCAGGTGGATCTCTGTGAGATTGAGGCCAGCCTGGTCTACATAGTGAGTTCCGGGGCCAGATGGGACTACAAGGAGACCCTGTTTCAAAAACAAAATGTGACATAGTACTCATCTTCCAGACCAGGAATTCTGAAAACCATGAGATCATTGCTGGCAGATAGATGTGGAGTTCTCAAGCTCATGGAAAAAAATTCTTCCATCTTTCGTTCATGTACATAAATATTTTAAGATGCAAAGTCTCAATTTTCTAACTTATTTGTATGGAGCAGGTGAGGTGAAAGTGTCAATAATGGTTATGTGATCTACTCTGGGCCCCAAGTATACATTCCACTTCAACACTGCTCCCTCGTATCATTGGGTCCAACCACCTAGTGATAGCAGAGGTGAGAGCACGCTGTTGAGATTTTCCTTCTACCCTGCTTTGCCAAGTTCTGCAGGAGATCTTTAACCTTTAGCTCTAGACATCAGAGATCGGGCAATGTTTTTCCTTTTGACCCTTCAAGCTACGAAAAGGAAAAGAAATACTCCTTTCTTCAACAGTGGAAATTTCTTAGTAAAAATAGACTTTCATATCAAAAGACAAGTCAACAGAGGGGGAAGGTAACTGTGTTTCATACATACATACAATATATTAAGGAAAAAAGTATTTCTCAAATAGGTGACTTTGAATTTTCAACAAAGAACAGTAAACATTTGTAGAAAAAAGGAATTCACATTTCTCAGTGTGAAAACTTGTGGGAAGGTTAAAAAACGACAGAAAAAGATTAAGTCAGTAAAGCTTGTGACTGTTGATTCTTTTGGTATAATTTCCAGATTGATAAGGATCTAAAGTTCTCCTCAGTGGTTAGTCTCTAGCTCATAGAGAGGGTGGGAGGATAACTTTTGCCTTAAAAACAGTATGGTCTACGTTTAGACAAGTCTACGGAAGCCTTCCTCCGTCTGAAGTTTCTCACAGAATCATATTCTGGGGTCCTTCCCATAAAACACAGGGGGAGCAGCTCCCACTGGGGCTAGTCTCTGAACATTGGCTCTTCTGACACTGCTCAGCCTTTTGGAAACACCTTCATCTAAATTTAGACAGGGTCCAAAATGCCATCTGTTCCCTATTGTCAGATCACTTTGAATGTACAGAACACAGTGCCTCTTCTTGTTGTCAAAATGCCCTAGCTAGGATCAGTGATCTGTAATTTGAAGATGGAAGTGAAAAGTGGTCCCAATCAAGGGTCCTGATTGATGCCATCCCTGACTGAATCATGGGAACTGGTGCCAAGATACAGAACAGAAGAATCTAGATGTGGAAGTAGACCTTTTCCAGAAGAAGAAAAGATAGGATTTTTCTCAAAAAAAGGAGGCTCTTTTTGCTTAACATAAAACCCAAGTCTGTAGAGTTTTATAGGATCACCAGCTTACTGAAATCTGGAGTGGGCTCCTGACCTGCATGAAGCTTTGCTGCTGCTGTCAGCTCTAATAGTGGCTGCACTACTCAGCCCCCTGTTCTTAGTAGGGTTTTGGTGCTTTTACTTGTTCCTTGTTGAACATCTATTGTGCACCGGATGATACATGAGCTGCTTTGAAGCCATTTATCCCTCTCCAGCTAGAGAGATCTTATGATTCATGTTTGATTGTTGGTAAAATCCACGCTCAAATTCTTGCTAAGGCTATAGCATGAGATCCTGACCCTTGAGTCTGCTGAATTCACAGAGATCCAGAGGCCTGCTCAGATGAGCCTGTCCAAGGTTTGCAGGAACTTAGGGAAATTCCTAAGTAGGTGCCCATGATGTAGACTTTTTTAAAAAAAAAAAAACAAAAAAAAAGCAAAGGTTCTTTCAAAGGAGGGTGATCTACAATAAAAACAGAAGCATCTCTTGTTAAGGTAAGAGATCACTAAGCATTCCCCTTCATTAGAAAGCTTTATTTGGGGGCTGGAGAGATGACTACTCTGGTTAAGAGCACTGGATGCTCTTGCAGAGGACCCAGGTTCAGTTCCCAGCACCCATATGGTGGTTAACAACTATTTCTACTTCCAGCTGTAGGAGATCTGATGCCTTCTTCTGTCCTCCATGGCCATCGCACACACATATTTACACACATGCATGCAAAACACTCATACACATACAATTAAAATATATTTTACAAAGAAAGTGCTTTTAAAATGAGGTTTATAATCAGATCCCAATTCACAATACTACTAAAAGCAGTGTACGTGGTCTCAGGGAAACCTCACTGCACTTTCTCCACTATGACCAAGAACCCCATTATCATTCATCCTTTTGGAGTGATACAGTCTCTGTTTCACCCAGGTCATGCAAATTGCTACACAGAGAAGTGGAAGAGCTGCAGAGTCAGAAACCCATAAGATAAAGAAGCCCAGAGTTGAAAGATATCAGAGCAGAGGGGCTGGGAGTAGCTGACTCACACTCAAGGTTGCACAAGCAAGATTTCAAAATTAATCCTGTGGAGACCTCAGCCCAGCAAACGACGTTCCTGGCTGGAAAAGAAGAACTGTAAATCTTTGATTTTTTTCAGATCTTGAGCATCACTTGCCCTTCTATCTCCGCCTTCTCTTTCTGCAGGAAACTTTATTTCCTACTTCTGCACACCAAGTTTCTACCTCCAGATTGAGGTCTTGTTGCTGAGAGTCTGACACCAGTGCCACCAGGAAGAAGCCATCCCTGGCGAGCTGTGAGTAGTTTTTCATGGATTTTGAATGCTATGCCCAAACATCTCTAAGTTTTCAGTGTAGCAGCCAGGGAGACACCTTAGGGGCTGCACAGTCTGTGCATGTGAAGACATTGGCCAAGAAGGGGGAAGGGGAAAGGGTGTTCTGTGCACCAAGAGATGTTAGGATGACCCTGGTGACAGTGAGGAAGTGAGGCTGTGGCTTGGTGGGACCATCCTTTGGTGCTCAGGTGATAAAGAAAGGGTGCAACAGAGGAAGGATGAGAACTCTGCCTTGCCTTGTCACTTTCCAGACACCCACGAGCTCACTCTACCCCTCTGACTATGCAAGGAGCTTCAATTGCTGGAAACTTCACCTCTGGTCCATATGTGGGTCAGTCTACGTGCTGAACCAAAATATGGCTTTTCTTTCTCCTCAGGAGGGTCACACAGGCTGAACAGAAGAATTTCTTTTGTCTCAGATGTAGCTTCTTTTTAGTCATGGGTCCTAGGTCCTGATGCCAAAAGTGACAGGTAGGCCAGCACGGTTGAGCCACTTTGTTGACTACCTCATGTAGTAAGAGCTAGGTGCTGGCTACCTGCAGAGGTGTAGAAGAGGTAGTATTTGCCCAGTGTTTTCTGTCAGTTCTGGAGCTTTGGGAACAGACCAGACTGAGCACAGTATAATTCTCTAGGTGCGTGCATTTTCTTCCTGTCATCAGAGATCCCTTCTAGTTCCTGCAGTCTGTCGGGATGTAGCTTAGTGATGTGAGATACAAGGTCTGTGAAATGTGGCCATCACTAGAGGGATGGAAAAATGAATTACATAAATGGATGGGAACAAATTCATAGTCACTATCAAGACAAAAATATTCTTAACAAGCATGCCCTAATGATGTCAGGTCTTATAATTCTATTATTATTGCAGAGTTTTGTGCACTACTGCAGTGAGCATTTACAGATGGGATTATAAGAGTTGGAGAACCATGACTGCTCTTTAACCTCAGAGGGGTGCACAATGTGTGAAAGATAGTATGCAAAGGGCTCATTTAGATTTCATGAGATCAGAGTGATTAGATAGTGCACAGTAGGCTCCCTAGAGAAGGAAGGTTTGAGAGGGAGCTAGAGGGATGAACAGGAGCCATCTTAGACAAAGGAATAAGTCATAGAAAATCACTAAGCATGAAGGAAGTGGTGAGTTTGAATGAAAAAGACTACAACTATGGCTGTGTATAGAACTGGAAATGTGGGCTGGGGGTGTGTGGCTCCGTGGTAAAGCAAACGTAAAGATATGGGTTCAATTGCCCGGTACAGCAAAAAATATAGAATGGGAGAAATGACTGGAGATGAAACTGGAAAACTAGTTACCATAGTGAGCGGACCAGCCATTACCTTGGAGGTCCCACAGCAGCCGAGTCATGTGACTACTGGGAGTTTCAGGCTGAGAAGTGCCATGTGCAGTTTCAACTCTTAGCACAGACAGATTGAGAGGGGTGAGCCATCAGTGAAGGAAAGTTCAAGAAGTGAGGAGCAGTCATGGCAAGAAACTAGCAGCTCATAGGTGTGCTGAAGAAATGAATCTGAAAAGCATTTAAGTGGCAGAATTCATATGATGCAATGCTAACATAGAGTATATGTAATGTGCTAATCCTTATCTCTGGTGGTCTTCCCAGAAACTTAGCAAAGTTAGTTTCTACATAAGGAAACTGATACTTGAGGAAATAACTGTCTTTAAATTACATAGCTTGTATGCTAGAGGCAGGATTTGAGGTTTTATTTTTTAAACTATTTTATTTATTATTTTCATTTTATGCATATGAGTGTATGGCCTGTATGTATGCAGTGCACCCATGTAGTTCAATGCCTGTGGAGGTCAGAAGAAGGTATCAGATCGCCTGGAACTGGAGCTACAGATGGTTCTTAACCACTATGTGGGTACTGGGAATTGAACCCTGGTCCTCTGCAAGAGCAGTCACTGCTCTTAGCTGCTGAGCCATCTCTCTAGCCCCTAGATGTTTTGTTTTTACATATATATATATATATATATATATATATATATATATATATGAGATGGGGTCTCATGTATCCCAGGATGGCTTCATACTTACTATGTATCTGAGGATGACTTTGAACTCCTCATCCTCCTGCCTCCACATGAGTGTTGGGATTACAGGGATGTGCCACTATGCCTGGGTTTATGCAGTTCTGAGGATCATGTGCTGTGTGTGTGTGTGTGAATGCCTGCAGAGGTTATAAGAGAACATCTGATCCTTAGAGCTGGAGTTATAGGCTGTTGTAAGCTGCCCAACATTGGTGTTGGAAACTGAACTTAGGCCCTCTGTAAAGCAATACATGTGTTTAACCACTTAGCTCTCTATCCAGTCCTGCCCCCAGAGGCAGGATTTGAATCCTGGTCTATTTTGGTGCAAAGAATGGCCCCTAATTTTCTGAAGAGGAAGGATTTGGAATGATACCAAATCTGTTTATTATACAGTAAAGTAGATGATAATAACTAAGATAAAGAACTCACAACTGGGCCATAAAGATTGCCTGTGCAAAAGTACTTGCTGCCCAAGCCTGATGACAGAAGCTCACACTAGAAGGAGAGAATTCGATTGTCATCTGACCTCATGTACAGTGGTATGTGTGTTCCTGCCCAACCCCTATGTAATAATAATAAAAGAATAGAATAGAATGTTTTTTAAGAATAACTCATTAATCAGGCATAGTAGTGCATACCTTAATCCCAGCACTTGGGAGGCAGAGGCAGGAAGATCTCTGTGAGCTCAAGGCCAGGTTGGTCTACATAATGAGTTCCAGGCCAACCAGGCTATGGTACTGAGACCTTGTCTTAAAAAAAAGGAGAAAAGGAACTTACAACCTGGGGAAGCTTCAGAGGGAGCTCAGAAGTGGTGGGTTGAACTTGAATTATCTGAAAAGTGATCGTTTCACTCACTGCTAAAACTCAATGCCTAAAACAGGTTATAGGTCATAATATGTGCTAAATAAATACTGGCTATACAAATAAATTCATGGGGATATAGTCAAAAGATAGAGGTCTAGGAGAAAGGTAGGATTTGAACACAGAACCTTAGAAAACATTAGCATGCAGGAGAGCTAAAATCCTGAGATTAGCTGACAAGATTCAGGAAGAAGTTTGGAGCAAGAATAAAGAGGCAAAAGGTATAAGGAGACAAGAGTCTAGTCTGGTGCATGAGGGCTTTTATGGTGTGGGCCGTGAGAGATATCACAAAGAATATTGATAAGTAGTCAGGTAGGAGCTTCCTCCTGGAAGTTAAAAGAGTTCCAAACAGAGGAAATTTGTAGATGAACAAACGCTCAATGAAGATGAAATTGGAACAGGGCTAAGGCATTTGAACATCGGGTCACCACTGCAACCTTGTCAGAAGAAGTGCGGGCAAGAGGGTGGCAGGAAACAACGGCTATTGGCTATTGGCTATTGAAGGCTTCTGTCTATAAGGAATCGAAGATGTAATTCACATGGCTTATGGCTTTTCACAAATAAGAAGTCAGAAGATGAGCAGTTCAGGAGTGGGTTTGGGACTCCATGTGGCTCTCTCTGGTCTCTGGGTCTTTTGTTCATAGTCTCAAGCACTGAGCCTATACTAGACAAGCTGCAAAAGTAGAAGGGGCCATCATGTTTTTTTCTGTGTCTATTTTATTGGGGAAGAACCTACCTCAAAGCCTCTTAGAAGACTTTACTTACATCTAATTGTTCAGTGATGGGTCATACACCTGTTCACCACCTGCAGAGAAGGTAAGGAATTCAGGCATGTACCATTTATAGTCTGAAAATGAGAAACATGCTCACCAGGGAGGCCAAGCGTGTTAAGAAAATGGTTGTTGAGTAGACAAGGTATAAGGGAAGTGATGTGCACATGCTATCAAGGAGATGGCTGCAAAGGAGGGATGAAGACCCAGATTTTGCTTGAGTGGAGAAAGGCTATTTGGACTGGGAAATGAGGCATTTATGGTTATCATTTTGTTCTTTGCCCACAGAACCAAGGGAAATGGAAGACAAAAACATGTTACCCCAGATAATCCAGGACATCCTGTCTACATCTCATTCTCTATTTACAAGAAGTATTCCAGGCTTTGGTGAAGAGGCTACCACCACTTATGACTATGATTACAGTGAGCCCTGTCATAAACCCAGTGTGAAGCAAATGGGAGCCTGGATCTTACCCCCACTCTACTCCCTGGTATTCATCTTTGGCTTTGTGGGCAACATATTGGTCGTCCTCATCCTGATAAGCTGCAAAAAGCTGAAGAGCATGACGGACATCTACCTGCTCAACCTGGCCATCTCAGACCTGCTCTTCCTGCTCACTCTCCCATTCTGGGCTCACTATGCTGCGAACGAGTGGATCTTCGGGGACGTCATGTGCAAGTTATTCACGGGGCTCTATCACATCGGTTATTTTGGTGGAATCTTCTTCATCATCCTCCTGACGGTTGATAGGTACTTAGCTATTGTCCATGCTGTGTTTGCTCTCAAAGCCAGGACAGTCACCTTTGGGGTGTTGACGAGTGGAATCACTTGGGTGGTGGCTGTGCTCGCCTCTCTCCCAGGAATCATCTTTACGAAATTCCAAGAAGAGGAAGATAGTCATGTCTGTGGTCCTTATTTTCCATTAATATGGAAGAATTTCCATACAATAATGAGGAACATCTTGAGCCTGGTCCTGCCCCTGCTGGTCATGGTCATCTGCTACTCAGGAATCCTCCACACCCTGTTTCGCTGCAGGAATGAGAAGAAGAGGCACAGGGCTGTGAGACTCATCTTCGCCATCATGATTGTCTACTTCCTTTTCTGGGCTCCCTACAACATTGTCATCTTCCTGACCACCTTCCAGGAGGCCTTTGGCCTGAGTAACTGTGAGAGCTCCAGTCACTTGGATCGCGCCATGCAGGTGACAGAGACTCTTGGGATGACGCACTGTTGCATCAACCCTATCATCTATGCCTTTGTTGGAGAGAAGTTCCGAAGGTATCTGTCCGTGTTCTTTAGAAAACACATTGCCAAACGCCTCTGCAAACAGTGCCCAGTTTTCTATAGGGAGGCAGCAGATCGAGTGAGCTCAACGTTCACCCCTTCCACTGGGGAGCAGGAAGTCTCAGTTGGTTTGTAACACAAATAACAATTTTCTTTTCTTTTCCCCCCCAAGGATGATAACAGAACAGAGATCTGTACATCAGGTACCCAGGAACCTCAGAATTGTGCCAAGACAGACTTATGGCACTCTTTGTATATCTAATATATGCTCAGGGAATATTCCAGAATAACAGTCTATAGAGACTTCTATAAAGCCTCATTCCTTAAAGCTATTTCTCTCGTTTTCTCCATGTCTTTCTCCATTTCTAACAAGACAGGCATGGGATGAACAGAACGGTGTGTGAGGGTTCAGGACCGAGTGAGAAGCGGGAACTGATGAGTCCTACTGACCCTGGGTCAGATGAAGATGCAGGTGGGCAGGGCATTTGTTCATTTGAACAGGAAATGTCCTAGCTCTTGGCTCCATCTCCCACTCATGTTTAGTTCTGAAGGCTTTATCAGCTTATGGGGAGTCTGGGAATTGTATAGCTTGTTGAGAACTTCATTTGAGTCCCATGATCCTCTTATACATGATTGAACAACACATTTTCCCTTTGTCGTTTAAATCTATGACAACACGGACGATCTGTTCAATATTGTGTTCCACTGCTTACACACTTCTCAGGCCACATGCTCACAGGAAATTTAGAGAATTTTTGTTTGTAAAATATGCATCATCAGTGATTAGTTAAAAATAACAATGAAGGCCTTGTTTGGTATTTCTAGGGTGAGTGGAAGGTTGGAGGTAGTGACCAAAAAGTGAGAAGAGCCAGTTCTTCCTTCAGGTGTAAAGCCCGCAGCAGGAAGGCAGGGGACGTGTGTGACCACAGCAGGTATGGGTCCAGAAGCAGAAAGACTTGGAGGCAAGAAGGCTGCCTCAGCAGCTAGCAAAGCCTGCTGTCGATGTCAACCGTTTTGGTTTCATTGCTACTACTTCCAACCCCTCCTCCCCCGCCCAGTGCTCTGATGCCTCCCTCTTTCTTCATACACAGTCTTTATCTCCTAACTCTTGGCTATAGGACTATCAACACCACAAATCCCACTGGGTCTGGGAAAAGTGTGCAGGGAACATCCAGACATGAGCCCCTGGATAGTACCAGGAGATGAAACCTGGATGGGACCCTGGACATTTGAGGGGCAGATAGGGACAGAGTCCTGGCTTTGGAAATCACACATGCCCCAAGCCCAGGATTCGCTATCTAAATTACCAGGCAGGATAAGCCTTGATGTAGAAGATTCTAGATAGAATGAGAAGTGCTTCACAGACTACCTTCTAGAGCCTTAATTTGGATACAGGTAGAATTCAAATATTTTAAAATCAAAGCTAGAAAACATAAACTTAAGAATGAAAACTTTGGGACTGGAGAGAAGGCTCAGAGGTTAAGAGCACTGGCTCTCTTAACCTGGGTTTGAGGACCTGGGTTTGAATCCCAGCACCAACAAGGCAGCTAACAACCATTCATAACTCCAGTTCCAGGGAATCCAGCACCCTCTTCCGGCCTCAGAGAATGACACAGGTGCGTTTACATACATGCAGGCCTAAAAATCATATGTATAAAATAAAGATAAACAAGTTAGTTAAAAAACAATGAAAACTTTGACTTGTAGATGAGGTGAAGAGTACATCTTGCCAAGTCTGAAAATATTGCATTAATTATAGAGAGAATTCTCATATGCCTTTAGCATATGAGCTGACACAGTTTGGGACTGACCGAGCGCGGGATCTATGGTCTGTGGGTGTATCCACCTGTGGCCATGCAGAGTCTAAGCCAGAGTGCCATCCGATCCCTGCATGCACCCCGCAGCTGCCACATCAGCTGTGTGTTTGCTCTCTCAGTCTTGCTCCCCCATCCTTTTTCTCTCTCTATCATTAAGTAGTTGTGATTTAATAATGCTGGAGTGCTTCAGAGCTTCCCAGATGTGTTACTGGTGACATATTGTTCTTTTGGAACAGTGGGAACTCCTTAGTCAAGATAGCTGCTAAAAACAACTTTAAAAGTTGATTTCTGATCTGATGGAAGCAATGATCACGTGAACAGACAACCCAGGAGCTGCAAGTCTTTGTTATTTAGCTTGGTTACCATCACGTTAAAGAAGGTTTCTGGAAGAAGTAGGGGCTGAGGGTGTTACCTTCAGACATTCTAATGAATGCACACAGTTGTATTTTGATTATGATAAAATATAAATATTGTTTTAAAAAACCTATGATTTGGAAAATAAATCAATGCTCTATGTTGCTAAAAAAGATCTTAAAAATAAATGTCTGCTTTGTTACACTTGGTGTGGTTTTCTGTTATGTTCACAACTTCGTACTTCTTCCCCTGTGGGATTCCACAATTCCACATGCCTGGTACCTTATGTAGAGGTGTGAGTGGCCTCCAGGCCACACACTCTGTCTGCAGTTAGGCTGATGGAAGCTAAACACAAGTGATATTTGCTTCAGCCAGTCACGGCCTCAGCATGGCTGGGCTGAGCTTCTTTTCAGCAAAGTGAAGCCGTTCTGTGTCTTGATGAGATGTGAGTGAAGCCATGGCCACCACCATGCAGAAGAGGAGCAAGAAGCCCACTTCCACTGTAGTAAGCCACTTGGCTTAAGGGGCTGTTTTTCAGGAAGCACAACACTGACTAACACACACGAGATACAAAGCCTTCATAAATAAATTTGTTTCCATTTTGGGATGCAGTATGACAAGTAACCTGAGGGTCTGTAGACTGAGTGGGAAAGGTGAAGACGGGTGTCACTGCTGTATCCTCCATGTCCTTTAGACTTGAGGCCCAGGACCTGTAGATGGGGAAAGGGTATGGAGGGCACAGATGTCATCACATCAGCACAAGGATAAAAAGGGTATGTGGCATTTTCTGGGAGCCCAGAGGACAGTGGCTAATTTAGTGATGGCCGTGCAGCAGCCAGAACAGCTACCACAGAATTTTGTTGCTGCTGTAGAAAATGCCTTATAAAAGATGCCTATTGTGTGTTTCCAGAGGTGAGCTCTCAAGTTGCCTCTATCCTGGGGAGAACCTTTGAGTGGGCAGTTTGAGGAAAGCAGGCATGAGGTAAAGAAAGGCCAGGATGCCAAGGGATGGGTGTCTCTGACATTTCTGGTGGAGGAATAGGTTTGGTATTACCCCCAAACACTGCGTACCTTGGTCTGTGTTGTCAAAGCTGCTTCAGAAGCTGGGCATATGCAGAGGGCCCTGCGGCACCCGGAAGGACTCCAGTAGGACTGGCCCTTCCCCCTCTGCTCTGACTCCCTATTCTACTTCCCTGACAAATAAAACGATCTCATGTAAGATTAGCCAGAAGGGAAGTCCACCCAAGACTCTCTAGGGAAACATACCAAAAAGAGGAGTCTGGACTGTCAGGGACTCTACAAGGCAGTTCAGAAATGGAGGAGAAGAGACCAGGTCTGGGTTTCGGGAGTGATAAAGGCTAGAATTTGCTCAGACATGGCCACTTTGGCATGTCTGTGACTTTGGGGAAGTTTTGTTTTCCTGTTGTTGCTGTTGTTGTTGTTGTTGTTGTTGTTGTTGTTGGTGGTGGTGTGTGTGTGTGTGTGTGTGTGTGTGTGTGTGTATACAGTTATGCAACACAAGACCTGTATCCTTTCTGGCCCCAGCCTGGAGTGGGGGCCTTTCTCCTACTATCTGAAGTATTCTGCCAGCTCAGCAGCTTTCTAAGCAAAGGCCAGGGCGCAGAGTAAAGTTTTATGTTATACCAGTTCCTATTAAACCCCCTAATGTAATCCATTTGCTTTAATAAGTACTTTTATTCCTCTTGATTCAATCTCTGTTGATCTTTCATGTTGAGTGGATTCTGGGAGGCTGTGTCTAGAGGAGGTTATGTTCTGCCCTATCTGTCCTCATTCTACCCCTGCCCTGGCTAGTGGTTTTCCTCAGGGTGACCTCCTCTACCTCCCTTTTCCAAGCATGAGGCTCGAGGAAAGTGGCTATGGCTAGAAGGGCACACATATTTTCATATAGTTGGTACCTGACATAAGTCCCTCTGTGTTGGCAAAGGTGCCCCAGAGAAATGTACTCACTTCGGGGGACCCAGAACTAGTGAGTATCCCCGTGGCTACTTCCTAGATATGCAAGATCTCTCTTGACTGGACTTCCTCCGATCCACCACTTCTTGGGTGCTGATGTCACTTGCCCCTGACAATGGGCTCCACATGACAGTTGTTGCCTGTTTGCCTTTTTTGGCAGCCACATAACCCAGTGAGCATTCAGTCTTGGGATATACTCCATCTCTAACTCTGCCACCCCCCTCCATTCCCTAGTTCCATGCTCAGATGGCCCACTCCTTTCCTTAACTGGCTGGTTAAGCAGATGTTAGAAGGAGTTGACAAGATAGCACAAGGATGGCTCTCTCAACTCCTAGTAAGCCAGGGAGAGGTGTCTGACCTTAGGTGTCAGTGGTTTTCTCTAGAACTGTGGAGTACTTAACACTTCTTCTCTTTAGTCTTAAATGATAGTTGTCAGGTCAAGGATGACCAGAGGAGCCTCACATAATATCCTGTTATGCAGAGCTGCAGATGTGACCTGACCTATTCAAGGTCACAGTGGTCTGTTGTGTACTTCAGTTGTACTTAGACCCCGTTTCCATCCCCCAAATCTCCTTAGACCTATATCTTGGCACTGCTCCGAAGTTAATACCACGAATATGTTGGGAAGAATTCCAAACTGAGCTACAATGTTTACACCACATCTGAACATAGCTAATGAGAGGACAGTTTGATGTTTTGCATGGGGCATATGAGGGATGCAGTATGTGAACTTGGGAGGGTGTTCACAGTATGAATGTCCAGAGGACAAAGACAGGAACAGGAAAACAGCATAGTAACCTCCCAAGTTCAGTTGCCGTGGCAGATGTGAGGCATCAGCTGAAGATGCTGGATTCATAAAACCCAAGCATCATTGCTGGGGCACACAACGTGTGACACTGAGAGGTGGTGAGTGGGTTCTTTCTGTTTTTGTGAGGAACATAAGGAGTCTCTGGCTTCCCTGAAAAAGGTAGTCCTGGAGGCACTTGGGGCTTCCTCTCTGACAGGGCAAAAGAGCATCAAGGAAAGTAACAATTAGTTTGACATTGTTACTGTTACTAAACTGCTGAATGAGCCTGGCTGCCCTGTCAAACACATCTTATGTCCTGATGTGGAACAAAAGACAACAGAAAGAAGGCCAGCATCTGGAATTCCCTTTCTATGAAGTTAAAGTACACCTGGTCTATACGAAGTCAGCATGGCTCTTGATCCCTGGGCCAGGCAGAGGACATCTCTCTGGGCTGGAAGGAAGATATTCTTTATCATCTGATCTGAGTGGTGATTCTGTAGGTCAATACAAATCAAAACTGACCAAGCTGTGCAACTAAGATCAATGCACTTGCCTGCAGAGGTCTCAACACAAATAGCAATTAAAGAAATATGTTCATAAGAATTCTTAACAACACAAGGAAATGTCTGCTGCTACAATCTTGGAAAAAAAAACTACAAAAGAAACAGTAGCTAGAGTGCCATATTTGTGAGGACAGTTACAAAGTGTGCATGGGATGGGATCAGGTTTGCAGTATGTTAAAAGAACTTGTTTTGGAATTAAGAGACTATGCCTATTTTTTTCTTACTTAATCAGCGTGTGTTGGCTTTATAATTAGACATTTGTGTGTGTGCATGTGTGTATGTGGTGTATACATGTGTATGTGGGTTTGTGCACCTGTGGATGCACATGTGTAGACCAGAGGTTGATATTGGGTGCCTTCCTCTACTGCTTTCCACCTCAGTGTTTGAGACGAGGTCTTTCACTGAACCTGAAGCTCACTCACCACCTGCTTAGTCCTGTCTGTCTCCCAGCACTGGGATTTGCATGTGCTGGCACATCTAGCTTTGTTTTGTTTTTGTTTGTTTTTAGCTTGGGAGCTGGGGATCCAAACTGAGGTCCTCATGTTTACACAGCAAGTGCTATACCCATCATGCCATCTCCCAGCCCTAGACAATTGTTTTTGAAAAGACTCACTTGCTATTTTCACAGCCCATCATAGTGCTGATAATGGTCTGGAAAAGAGCTGCTGCGTAGCAGGGCTTCGCTCACTGTGCTCCTGTAGTTGTGAGAATCAAAAGGGGAGAATCAGCATTCCCCACCAACCTGTTGAGGATGCTCTGAGCATCAGTCCAGAGATGCTGTGGGCAGTGAGAGCAAAGCAAGGAGAGGGACACAGATGCAATCACTAGAAGTTGAAGACACTGGCTGGTGCCCCAGAAGGAGAGCTGGCAGGAGACACCCTCCACAGGCACACTGAGTCTATAGTGACAAACTGATAAGATCATTTCTTAGGGGGAGTCTAAATACAAAACGTATGAGAACAAAGTCATGCAAACTGGGGGTGGGGGGTGAGCAGAAAGGGAAGCAGGAATCAGTAAATCAAGTTGCAGCATCGTGTCTGTTAGTGTGGTAGTATACAGAACAACATTCTTTTATTAGTAGGAATGTCTTCATGAGTCCATGGGCCCTCATATCCCCAAGGGGGATGAATGCCTATCTAGGAGATGACTAGACTGCATCTCTAGGCCGGAAACTCAAAAGAGAGTAACAATGCCCTGCTCACCTGGGCTTCCTTGTTGCAGGCTCTAATCCTGGCCTGGCCCTGGATTAGATAAATATCCAAGGTGTATTTTCCAAACTGCACAGGCTCAGAGAGGGGAAGCCACTCATATCTAGCGCATCACAAACGGGAGAGGAAATGGAAGCTCAGAGAGTGAGTCTCTTGCTTAGGCCACTCTTGAGGTCAGTGACAGTCTGTTCAGCTGCTCCACATTGCCCTCTGGGGGTGAGCTAGTCCCTACATCTTCAGCTATCCTGGTAACAGTAACTCAGTACACAGCAAAGTCCCAGATCTGCACAGTGACAATAAGAACCCACATATTCACACACAGAATTGTGGCATTTGTCCAGCACCATAGGAGAGGTCCACCTCAGAGAAGGATAAAAAAGTACATAAAGATCTTAAATTGTGTCCATTTAGAAAGGATCACTGAGTGAGCAACTCAAACATTAGTGTTAATTTTATGTGTAGCTTATCTACTTGCTGGATGTGAGTGCCTCACATTGTTACCAAATTCAGATTTGGACGCTCGCCAACCACATAGAAAACTAGTACCCAAGAGACAAGAATTGGAAAAAGAAAGCAGGCTTTATTGAAGTGCCAGTCACCCAGAAGGAAGCAGACTGATGTCTCAAGTTCCTCCTTCCAAGTCTTTGGGGAAGTGGGAATATTTATGTGAGGGTCAGATTAGGGACTACGTGCAGAATCAGCATTCTCCCAGAAACCTGAGTTAGATGATCCTGCGCTGATCAGAGCTGATAATCTCCTGGTGATGAACTTTTCTTACCTGGAAGATAAGATGTTCTGGAATGTAAAGAGACGGTCATATCCTAGGAATGCTAACTGGAACAGGAATAAAGCAAGAAAGAGTTGCTGACAGCAACCTACTACCACAAACACACGAGGCAACCACTGTTATTCAGCCCAACACATGAGGGCCTTCAAGTGTGGCAGTCTGGCTGTAGAGGTCTTGCTTTGGTCTCTGGGCTAGGGTGCCTCCTGTAGGTTGCAGACACAATTTTGCTGTTTGGAGTTTCCTCCGCCTATCTGTAGGTCACAAGCCAAAGCTGCTTGTTTGGAGGCAGCTCTGAGCTGTGTTCTCAGCTCTGCTATCTTCCTTGATGTTTTGTAAAAAGCCAGCAACCACTCAGAGGGCCTGACATGACTGCATACAGTATGAACAAATCACCCTGGACTTTCCCACGTACTTCCATTCATGGTTGTGTAAAATTCCTTAAAGCTTCAAATGAATTACGCTCTTGGAGTGAGGAACTCTGCCATCTTCAGATCTCTTGTAGAACTGGGTACTCATAAGTGTGTGAATCATATCCTTCCATTTACCAGATCTAGAGGGGACTAAGAAATGTGCTTAGCTACAAGGTGATTGTGTGGTTAAACTGTTTTGACAACCAAATGCATTAATTTATAGAGAAGAGTCATAGTGGGTGGTGAAAATACGTGAGTAAATTTTGGAAAGGGGAGGGGATGAGGGTGGCTTAAAAAGGGAACAAAGCTGATGTCCAGATTGAACCTCCTCTCTGTTTTAGAGTTGTCTGGAGTTTACTTCAATCAAGGGCAACTATCAGGAGAACAGATGCTTTTATCCCTTGAGCCTTAACACCTTACTATTGAGGGACATGAAGTGTTATATAAATCATTCGTGTCTTGCACAGTGACTCCCTTGATTCAAATGTGGGCTTCGAGGAATGGATACAATTGTTCTTCTAGTTCTAATATCTTTAATTCTTTCTAATGTCTCACAGACTGTGTAACTGAATGAGCAGAGAACAGAAGTCAAATAATCCAAGGAGGGAAGCTCTTCAAGAAACTGTCAGACAAGAGCTGCCTTTTCTAGTCTATTTTAAATAAATGCAACCTTGAAGAGGAGGAGAAAGCAGAGGAGGAGGAGGAGAAGGAGGAGGAGAAGAAGAAGAAGAAGTGATCCGACCCCCCCACCACGTAATATTCTTATTCATTAAACCCCGCCCCTCTTTGAAAGAAACTGAGTTTCCTACTTTATACTGTCTATATATTTGATTTGCACAGCTGTGCTGGCTGGAGGAGCTGAGACATCGGTTCCCCCTACAAGAAACTGGTAAGTCACTGCTCAGCTCTTAGCAGGCTAGTTAGCTCAGCTTCTGTGATGAGTAAAAAGCCTTGACAGGAAACCCAAGAAGACTTCTGGCAGCAACAGGTGCTCACAGAATTATCCGAAACTATAATCTTTAAGATCAGGAAAGGGTCAGAATTTATAATGTGTTTCAGAATATGATGCCATCAAATATAGAAAACATGGTTGTGAAATATTTAGAAGGGGGAAATATCATGCTTTTAATAAACAAAGTTCTCACTTCTTAAAAGAAAAGCTTCCAGAGGGATGATGTTGGCTGAAATCTCATCTGACAATAATTATCTCCGGTTCAGAAGAGCAGAGGAGGTGAAACCTCTTCACTGGTCTCCGGGAACCTGTGGGTACCAGAAGCTCTGTCTTCCTTCCCTCCCTCCTTCTCTCTCTACCTCCTTCTATGCCCCTTCCCTGTCTCCTCCATCTCTCTTTCCTTCTCCCCCTTTTCAGAAGAGGGAAACCCCCAAATTGTCCGTATCAAATCTCAAACATCAGATCACATCTCCACAGCATACTTAGTATACCATTCTTTTTCTGGCTCAGCACTTGAAGGTGAGGTTTTCTGGGCTTTTCTCCCAGCTGCCTAAATGAGAGGTACAAAGTGTTTGAGAGGCATAAAAATCAAGCAGAAAAAATTCTCAGAGCAGTGCAGTAGAAATTAGACTGGGCAAGCCAGCTGTAGAGGTTGAACTACTCAGCATGTGAGGCATTCACCCATGGAGGTGGATGAAACAATTCCCACTTGACCATTTCTTGTGTTTATATGAGAGCTCTTGATGGTGGTAACTTAGGAAGTAGAAACAAACTTCAAAGAAAAGATGAAAATAGAATCTGCTTTGATCACTAACGATAGATTCTATATGTTATTAGAGGACTTGGACATCAGTTCATTTCATTCTGAATACATAGAGGCATCAGGCTACTAAAAAACTTACTAGTTACCAAGGGGCAAGAGATAACACATAGAAGTTAAGGGTACATGCTACCTGCACTCAAAATCAGATGCTTCCTGATGGTGTGGCTTTGTGTAAGTTACTTATTCTCTCTGTGCTTGGGGGTTCCTTATCTGCAAAGATGTGACTAATACTGCCTGCCTCCTATAGTCACCTTGAGCATCAAATGAATGAATAGGTAAGAAACTTAAAAGAGTGGTTGGTACTGGTGTGGCCCTGTGCATTCTTACTGGAACTCCTGTGGCTCAAGCTGTTTGTGGTCTAACGCCTAAGAACCGTAGCTTCAATAGAGATCTTAAGCCTGTGAGTTACACAGAACTGGGCTCAGTTTCTTCGAATGGTTACCGCAGCTTAATTTACCACCCCCCAATTTCTGCAGAAAACAAGATTTTATTTGATGAGATGAGTGTGTCAGTGAATATCAGTTCCATCTGATGAGCAGGTAAGTTAACTGTAGAAATCACATCAAGTTAAAGATCTACTGAGCTATAAACAATTTCCATTTGTGGTAGATCACTAAGTACTCTTAACTTTATTAAACATTGCCTTTTCTTTACCCACAGGTCCTCCAAGGATGGATTTGCAAGTGTCAAGTTCAACCTATACTTATGACATAGATTATGGTATGTCAGAACCATGCCAAAAAATCAATGTGAAACAAAGTGCAGCCCAGCTCCTGCCCCCACTCTACTCCCTGGTATTCATCTTTGGCTTTGTGGGCAACATATTGGTCGTCCTCATCCTGATAAGCTGCAAAAAGCTGAAGAGCATGACGGACATCTACCTGCTCAACCTGGCCATCTCAGACCTGCTCTTCCTGCTCACTCTCCCATTCTGGGCTCACTATGCTGCGAACGAGTGGATCTTCGGGGACGTCATGTGCAAGTTATTCACGGGGCTCTATCACATCGGTTATTTTGGTGGAATCTTCTTCATCATCCTCCTGACGGTTGATAGGTACTTAGCTATTGTCCATGCTGTGTTTGCTCTCAAAGCCAGGACAGTTACCTTTGGGGTGTTGACAAGTGGAATCACTTGGGTGGTGGCTGTGCTCGCCTCTCTCCCAGGAATCATCTTTACCAGATCTCAAAAGGAAGATTTCCACTATACATGCAGTCCTCATTTTCCCAACAGTCAATATCATTTCTGGAAGAGTTTCCAGACATTAAAGATGGTCCTCTTGAGCCTGGTCCTGCCCCTGCTGGTCATGGTCATCTGCTACTCGGGAATCCTCCACACCCTGCTTCATTGTAGGAATGAGAAAAAGAGGCACAGGGCCGTGAGACTCATCTTTGCCATCATGATTGTCTATTTCCTTTTCTGGACTCCCTACAACATTGTCCTCCTCTTGACCACCTTCCAGGAGGCCTTTGGCTTGAATAATTGCAATAGCTCTAGTAGACTGGACCAGGCCATGCAGGTGACAGAGACTCTTGGGATGACGCACTGCTGCATCAACCCTATCATCTATGCCTTTGTTGGAGAGAAGTTCCGGAGTTATCTCTCTGTGTTCTTCCAAAAATACATAGCCAAACACCTCTGCAAACAGTGCCCCATCTTCCAGCAAGACAATCTTGAGCGTGTAAGCTCAGTCTATACCCGATCCTCTGGGGAGCTGGAAGTTTCCGCTGGGTTATGACCTGGACAGAGTTGTGCGCATCACTTAGCTATTCTACATAGCCTGGGGGTGGGAACGGTTCTTTTAATAAAGAAGCTACAGTTAGAGAGGGCCCAAGATCCATCCATGTATTTGACATCTGTTTTACATTATTTAGATTGTTTTTTTTTAAGTCTACCAGTTCTAGAGAGTGGAATCAAAGTGTTGATAAGAGAGCAGCCCCTGGTCTCCTTTTCCCTTACTTCCAGTTATTGGAAAATTCTTCTTTTGTCACAAAAGTTCACTGTGAAAAGATCCTCAGAATTCCGGATTCTTGAGCTTCATTATCTGAATAGAAACAACACGAATGATGAAGTATATATTGTATAGTTTCTTCCCTGTACAAGGTAACATTCAGGCTGTAAATATACTTAAAATAGGACTTTGTCTTGCCTTGAGAGAAGAATATGACTAGTTAGGAAATGGCTTGCTAAGATATGGCTAATAAGTTCCATAGACTTGCAGGACCAGGCGAGTGCTCTGTGGCTTGGGAGGGCTGGGCTTGTCTTTCTGAAAAGGTATTTGAGTTGGATCATCTTTGGTGGAAGAGAGGGGAGTCATACTCTGAGTGTCATGATTTCATGATCACAGCTTGGTTGGGAGAAGACCTGAGATTAGTTTGGAAGACTGCAGGGATGAAGATCAAGGAAGGTCATGAAGTACCATGTTAGCATTGCTCCTTCAAAACCATAAGCAGACTGAGGAGCACCTGGCCAGGGTGTGGAAAGCTTATTTCATGGCTAATCATGCACTGGGAATGGTGAGAATTTAGGGCAAGGGGACAAACAGCAATAGGTCAGGGTGAGAATGGCCATAAGGTCAGGGTGAGGATGGCCATGAGGTCAGAGTGAGGATGGCCATAAGGTCAGGGTGAGGATGGGAAGTGAGGATGTCAATAAGGTCAGGGTGAGGATGGCCTTTACTGAGATCAAGTCGCCTGGGATAAGCAGTGGGGAAGCACCACTTCTGTGTTTACAATGTAAAGTTCAGTAGAATTTGGGATGAACTGGGAGTGGAAGTGAGCAAGAATTCCTAGGCTCAAGCAGGTTGGAGGAGTCATTGAGGAGCTATCAATACAAAAGGAGGTTAGAGGGAAACAGAGTTTGGTCTAGGAGGATGAATCTCATTTTATATCCTGAGTGCAGAGTTGCACAGAGAGATTGAAGGCTGGCTTTCCCTGAATGTTCTAGCCTTCAGGCCATCACTTCCTAATCCCAGCTGTGATCCTGAGGGTTACCCAGATGACTGTGAAACACTGGGCTCGTGAATCCTGAGGTCTAGGAACACGACAGACATGAGAGTGTAGCTGAGGGTTTGCTTACATAGTTAGAACCCAGAGGTTTATAACCTTGAGCAGAGGCGAAGAAGTGAGGGAAGGCCATCAGCTTTCTGTGTTTACTCATCAGCAAAGTCAGGGGGTAACACATCCCTCTGGAAACAAGTTACTTTACTGTGAGCTTCAGAAGCCATTAAAGTGCAATTACCATCCTCTGTGTTCCAGGCTAAGTGTGAGGGCTTCAGGCTCTCTCTCCAGATGCCTTCTCCACATAAACCCACACAAACACTAAGGGATTTAGTCCTTGCAGAAAGGTTCAGCCTTTTGTGGTAGTTTCTGTGGTTGTTACTTGTTTTAATTTGGTAGCAGCTAAGGAAGGCCATCGTAGCAAAGACTAAGGGAGCAAACAAAGGGGTGGAAGTCACTCAGAGGATTGAAATGTTTGAAAAATAAGAGGTGCTATTGTTTTTTTCTCAAGCTCTGTATATGAAACCAGAGGCTTGTGGCTGTCAGCAGGAAGTGTGTAAATGGAAGTGCTTTTTCCTTTCCTGTGACCCACATCTTCCCCTAACCCCTTGTAGACCAGACTGGCTGCAAACTCATGATCCTCCTGCTTCTATCTTTCAAATGCTGGAATTACAGGTGTGCACTATCATGCCCAGCTGTATGCGTATATTCTTATATGTATAGAAACTTGCAAATTCTTTGGAAGACAATAGGAATCTTATAAAAAGCACTTTGTTAAAAAAAAATAACTGTATTCTTCTTCCAGATAAATGTTCACTTAGTAAATAGCACATACAATTGTCAAAGTATTTTATAAGTAGCTTATTTTGGAGATCATCCTTAAATAGTACTTATTTAATTACAGTTCTTCGTTAAATGGGGAAAGGAGTTGTATTTCCTTTAAAAAAAAATTTTTTTTGGGCAGGGGCTTTTTGAGACAGGGTCTCTCTGTAGCCCCAGCTGTCCTGGAACTCACTATATAGACCAGGGTGGCCTTGAACTCACATAGCTTTGCCTGCCTCTGCCTCCGGAGTGCTGGGATTAAAGGCATGCGCCATCACGCTCGGCCCTCTTTTAAATATTTTTAAAAGTTGACTTTCTTCTTTAAGACAAATTGTCTTCTTTAAGACAAATTGCCAAAATAATTTATATTTATAGATGTTACTTCTAAGGGTGGAGTTTTGGCAGCAGCTGTCCTGAAGGGTTATAAATTTCAAACTGAGTTTATCTTCAATCAGAAATTTTCATGCATTTGTAAACTGATGCCAGAAGTCAGGAATCTGATTGAAAATAAAGACATGCTATTTCATGATCTGGTCAGTGTCTAAGTGGGAGGCACATGGCAGTGAGGACGAAGATTATTATTATAAGCATTGCTTTTTCTTATATTTAAAATTCCTCCCCAGAATGTGGTTGTGATTGCAGAATTGATAATGAGATTTTGTGCATGTGTCTGTTGTCCCAAGAGAAGGTAGATGCTCCAGGGAGAGTTTGGAATATGCTGGTTTTTAGTCTGCTGCAGACTCAGCTTCCAGAGCAGGCTGTGTGTCGAAGTTGCTAGATCTGGTCATGCTCCTAATGGAAGGCACATGAGACCAGCATAAGACAGGACAGGCTAGCAAGGCAGGTTCTCTTTACTAGATTCAAAGGAATGCTTTCCATCCCTTAGATCCAAAGGTGAAATGAGCGAAGAGAGTGGGAGGAAGCTGGGATTAGAGTGGAAGGGAGCTTTCCCCGACTTCTCTGATAAAGCCAGCTTCCATGAGTGATACAGGAAGGTATGTTAGTCTCCTTGTTGCTGTGACAAAATACCTGACAAAAGCAACGTAAAGAAGGAAGGGTTTATTTTTAATAGTTGAAGGGATACAGTCTATCATGCTGGCCAGAGTGTGAGGCAGCTGGTCACATCGCATCTTCACTCAAAAAAGCAGCTAGATGGATGCTGGTGCTCAGCTCCCTTTATTCTTTTTATTCAGCCCAGGACCCCAGTCAGTTAATTCTCTCTGGAAATACCCACATAGACACACCCAAAGGTGTGTTTCCTAGGAGATTCTGAATCCTGTCAAATTGACGTTCAAGATCAACTATCTCACAAAAGTCAGTGTTCATGGCTGATGTACATGTGTATACTCCTCCCCTTCCCATATTGTTATTAAAATTTTTTGATTTATTTATTTTTATTTTATGTGTGTGAGTGTTTTGTCTGCGTATATGTAAGCACACCCATGTGTTCAATGTCCATGGAGGCCAAAGGACTGCATTTGATTCCCCGGAACTGGAGTTACAGACAGCTGTTACTGTGTGGATGCTGGGAACATAACCTGGGTCCTTGGCAAGAGTAGTCAATGATTTTAACCGCTGAGCCATCTCCCCAGCCCCTTTGTTCATATTATTAAATTAATCTATGAAGAAAAGCTGCCTGAGGTGTCACATGACTGCATATGTATTTCTTTCATATTTGGCTTCATTGTTACGATTTAGTTAGATTATAAGTTCAGCATCATTATGATTCTGTCATGTTTCGGGGTCTTATTTTTGTTCAAAATGAAAAACAGTTTTTAAAGCATAGGCAGGGGTTTTGAGCCTCTTTCCATCACCTAGATTCAATGGAAAGGCCTTCAAAGCATCGAATAACCTTGGCCTATACTGCCCCTGAGAGGCCACACTGGCAAGTCATTAAGGACGCCCAGCAGACATCACAGACCACACCAGACAAGAAGCATGGTATCCTTCAGTCCTTTGACGTTTGTGTTTCAGTGCAGTTGTGGACAGAGGCATTTCCACAGCTGTTCAGGGAAGATGACACACAGCTCTTTCTCATTGCTTCTGAAGAACAAGAGGAGATCAGATCAGCTGAGGACACAGGCTGACACCTGGAGTGAATGAAGTTTTCAGCTGCCCAGATCTGCAGAGCGCTGAACCTCTCACGTTGAATAATGTCAGGAAATGATTGCTAACTAGGAATTTCCACACCCATGAAATGACTCAAACCTACTTACACTTCACTCTAGCCCCATATATCCCAAGTGTTTGAAACAGCTAAATAGGACTTTGATATAACACCCTTACAGAAATATATTCTTTGGAAGTGAAAGGTTGTTGAGGATCACTCAGTCCAGGGCCTCTCTCTGTAGGTGAAGAGTAGAGTCTACCCCAAGCCCCAGAGAGGGCTGTGAAGGACCTGAGCATCCACACACTGTGATAGTGTTTCCCAGTCTCAGTGGGCAGCTAGTGATAAGCCACTGAGTAGAGGATGTTTGGGGAGCTCTAACACCTTTCACAATCATGCCTGGATAACATTGGGAGACAGGCTTGTGACTCCTGAGGGCTGCGTGCTGATCCTGGCTTAATCTTAACTGCATATTGGAGCAACATGGAGAGCTTTACAAAAAGTGGCACCAAGTCCCACTCCAAATACTTCTGCTTTGACCAGCCTGTAACGTGACCTGTGGTTCTAATGCTTAGAAACTCCCCATGTGGTTCTAAGCGCAGGGAAGTTTGAGAGGCACTGGGTGTGAAGGCTGGGGTTGTCAAACTGGGTGTGAGGACTGGAATCCTAGTCTGTCATGCGGAGTGCAAAGGAAGGTTGGGAGCTGAATAATAAGATCATGCCTGGCCTGAAAGTAGGTGGCATGTAGGCTGGGGAGTCTGGATTCACTCTCTTGATTTTCACAACAGAACACTAACTGCATCTTCCTTAAAGCTGTTTCGCCAAGTGTATGAACCCAGACTTCACTGGAGGTACAACATATCTGCATTTGAGGCTTTCAGTTTTCAACTTCAGGTTTGGGATTATACTTTGGCCTGTACTTTCTAGGTAAGAAACAGAGAAAAGTAAGATGTTTGGCTCCCATTCTGAGTCTGGAGACTTCAATTTCAAGAGAGAACAAATCTCTTGTGTGTGAAAAGTTGTATCTGGGATGTCTGACAAATGAATATTGATTTTTGCTTATGTTGGCAAAGGTGTTCTCCTCCCTGGCACTTCCTTGCTGTTCTAATAAGCTACACTTTAAACTCTGCCTAATAAAATAATGATCCTGAAGGACTGGAAATCCAACCAGTTCATCATGGCGAGGCATAATTCTGAAAAGACTGAGAAGTTAGCATTAAGATAGCAATTCAGAGGCTGGAGAGATGGCTCAGTTATTAAGAGCACTGGCTGTTTTTTCAGAGGACCTGGGTTAGATTCCCAGCACCCACATGGCAGCTAACAACCAGCTGTAACTCTAGTTCAGGGAATCTGATGCCCTCTTCTGTCCTTCCTGGGCATTGCCCATCATAGGTACACTTACACGCATGCAGGCAATGCACTCATACACATAAAATAAAAAATAATAATTCAAAAAGGTAGCAACTCAGATGGCCTGGCATCTAATTTAAATGTATGCACATATACAAAAGAAATTTTGGCTTGTATTAGCTACCTTTGCATCACTATGACCATAACAATACCTGATCAAAACTTAGGGGAGAAAGGATTTATTTTGGTTGACATTTCAGAGGTGTTAGCCTCTTAGTTCATGGCAGTGATAGTATATGGCAGAGGCTGTTTACATTGTAGCACACCAGGAAGCAGAGATACCAGGGGCCAGGATATAACGTATAGAGGACCGTCCTTAGTGACCTGCCTCTGTAGCTTGACCCCACCTCCTAAAGGCTCCATAGCCTCACTAAATAGTGCCGCCAGCTGGGGAGCAGGCATAAAGCATGAGTCTGAGGGGCATTTCTGAAAAGGAGATATAACATTCTTTTTGGTTTGAGTCAAGACAGTGCTCTTTCTTTGTGTTGTAATTATGTTTAAAAATCGAAGTCAGGTGGGAACATTTCAGGATAGTTTATATTTATTTTCAAGTTCTTCTGCTTTGATTTATTTCCATTAGCTTAGACCACTCAAAAATGTCCTTTAAAGAAATTATGATCCTTTCTTAATATATAATCAAATCAGGACTCTGCCGATTGCTTAGCTCAGTTTTTCTTGAAAGGTAGAACCCATGCACAAAAGAGTGAAAACTTAAAATCCAGACTGACCTGAGTTCCATTTTGAGGCTGTGGGAGCTTGGAAAGTGATCTGAGGGCTCAAAGCCTTGCTTCCTTCTTGGTAGTTTTAAGTTTTATTTGTATCAGCTCCCAGCGCTGTCTGGGGCTAGAAAGTCTGTCAACCAGGCCTGTCCAATAAAGTTTTCCATAATGACAAGCTCTGTGCCTGTGTTTTCTCATATGGTTGACACCACAAGAATGTAGAATGTCATTTGTGCAACTGAGATATTGTATTTTAAATTTCATTTAATTGTAATGTGATCAGGGCTACCATACTGAAAAATGTAAGTCTGGGGCCCATAGAAATAAATTCCAGTATCATTTGGACTTTGGCACCAGGCTTTGTTACTATGCAAATTTGCTGTTTTTAATCCTCATTTTCCTTATCTGTAACTAAGTCTGATAATGTCTGCCTCACAGGTTTGTTCACATGATAAATAGGGGTTGCATGGCAAGGGCTTAATATAGTGTCACTTAGCTCACAGATGTTCTTGGAGCTCTTAGCTACCTTCATAATTTGCTAATAATGTCATTACTTCTTTATATGAGAGCTTTCCTACAGTGCTCTTTTTAAAAAATATTTTATTATTTTATTTTATGTGTATGAATGTACTGTCTGCATGTATGTAAGTGTACCCATGTACAGTGCTTGAGTGTGTCAGAAGGGGACATCAGATCTTCCGGAACTGGAGTTATGGATGGTTGTTAGTGGCTGGGAACCAAACCCAGGTCCTCAGGAACAGCAGTCAGTGCTCTTAACCCCTGAGCTATCTCTCTAGATCCTCTCCTACAGTGCTCTTAACCATTCTCAGGAATTCAACTCACATTCTGTCATGGAACAGAAGTTCTAGAAGACTGAAATATATCTAGGGTTCCTTGCCTGTGAATTTAATACTATTT